TATGTGCATTTTTCTTTCTTATGTTTCCTTACCTTTTCATTTTCTTTCTTATGTTTTCTTTTCTTTTCCCTTTCTTTGTCTTTCTTATGTTTCCTTATCTTTTCTTTCTCTTTTCTTCCTTACGTTATATTACCTTATCTTTCTTTTCTTGTTCTTTCTCATTTTTTCAGTTTCTCATCTCATTAAGTGTTATAACAACAAGGAAAATGTGTCACATGGGGGGGGGGTTGGGGGGGGGTGGGGAAGCGAGACTACATTAGGATGTTGCTTTTTAACTGGGTGTTTTCTCGAAACTGAACTGGGATGTCATGTCAGGATTGCCTTGGGTATTATGCAGTGGAGGTCACTGACCCAAACAAAGCTATTTTGATTTCCAAGTCCTAATATTTTGATCTTGAACCATTAAATCTTCAACAAGCCTACTGATGATGTTAGACTGGCAGCATGACCCTGACTGAGGTCAGTTTAGTTCACTTCACATCATTAAATTAACTATTGACAAGTCAGATTCAGATTAATTAATGATATGTTTCTACCTAGGCTATTAGTAACAATCACACAACACAATATAAGTACATTTACCCTATAGCATATAAAATATTACAAACAATGAAAGAGTTGAAAGAAGAACAAAAAACATGTCAACACTACATGCGGTTCATTTTGGTACTTTGTAAGGGTGTCCTCTCAGGGCCCCTAATAGGGTTTTGTGTCATATCAGGATTGTATGGTTGTCATTTTGAAAGAGGTAGGGGGTGGGCTACATATTGGATGAAGGGTGTCAGAACTGCATGTGCACTGTGTCATCTTTGGCTCTACACTGGGGAACAATATGTTTGGTCACAGTACTTTAACTCCACACTGTAAGTATGTTATGTGTAAGTTGGAAGTGTATTTTAATGAGGTTTTATTGATTAACAAATCATAAATTTTAGACAGCCATAGACAACACCATCTTCATATGATTGCAGACGATATACATGGAGGACTTGCCTAAGAAGACGCTAATGCATGCTGATGTCCAGATGCACCAAAATGGATCAAATGTATGAGAAGAATTACAATTTAAATCTTCCTAGTTTTTATTCGACATTTGTCATTGGCCTATCACCTCTAGACAAAGTCATTCACTCATAGGTTAAAGAATTATTTAAATTCAATGTCATGACTTTCAAAACTGAATATACTTTTATCAACTGTATATAACAATGCAACATTAAATTTTACATATAATCATTTTTCCATTTAATAGTCCTGTACAGACAAAAAACTGTTGCATACCAATATAGTCATGATGTGCCTATATATGGTCATGATGTGCCTATATACGGTCATGATATGTCATTATGATCATAATTATGCATGCCACTTTTTTTTTGTCAAATAAAATTTGAAGCTTTAGTTCGGACAGGGATTTATAGGTATGCTATGTGCAATTTGTTGTATTTTCAAGTAATGTAATACACAGTACTATAAATAGTGGTGGACTGAGAAACAAAGTACAGTTCACGTTCTACTTTTAGACCACATTTTTGACCTGAAAATTTGGGGTGGTCTTTGGGTTTGGTGTTCATATAGATGGTTAACTTAGTGTTAATAGATAGAAGATTGTTAATTTGTTTTACGAAAAAGTGGTATTAGAGGAGTATCAGAATTAGAGGGTCTAAAATTGTAGGGTAAATTTGATGCCAATACCCTTAGCTTGAACGCCAATGAAATTTTTTTTACTTTAGCCCAAATCTTAATTTTTCAAGTTGGTTGCATGCCACGACTGTCCAAAATGCTAACTAATTATTATTAGTTACAGTAATTTTTTTTAGTCTAGTCTTACAACATCATTTTTATGTCTAGTATCAGTGACGGATCAAGGAATATGAAATAGAGGGGACCCAAAGAGTGACTTTCACAGATGGCGAGAATATACTACCTCAGCCCCACCATGGTTGGGGTTGAGGTAAGAAAATCTATGTTATGGCACCCGTAGATGGTCGGAAATGGCACTCTTAGACTCAAAATTTGGGTAGAATTGAGTCTCTTTTTCCCTGTTTTTTTTTTTTATTTTGAAAAATTTAGCAAGGGGGAGGGGATGCTGGCTAGGCACCCCCCTCCCTCCTTTGAATCCACCACTGGGTATCCATACAATATGTTGAGCAACCTTTGAGCATTGTGCCATGTAGGAATTGTACAGTGTATCTCTGCTGCTTAAATGTATGGTTGATTTTACCTTACTTGTTAACCAATCAACTTTCAGCTTGTAATTAGCAATTAGGTTAGTTTAAATTTGAAATTTATTTTCTCAAAACGAAGTTTCCATATATTAGTTTCAAATGTGCACACCTCTGTATCTATTTATCTTAGAACAATTCAAGTACTACGTTTATAATGTGATTCATTTAAACATACTATAAACTCATTTTTTTATTGCAACTTTTACAAGCGACTTATTTTGTGATTAGACCCCACATATAACCATAAGCAATCAGACAACATTTTTAGACATATAGGTTATTCATTTTACATTCAATGACATGACATTGAAATACTAAGTTGGTGTCCTTTTATTTGATTTTCAAACTGGTAAATAAATTTCGCAACATTTAGTCACAATTTTGTCTTGTAAACGCTGTGTAATTAACTAAACATACTCTGATTTAGTTGTCAAGAATAGATAAGTATTATTTGTTCTGCTATCTGTTATTCTACTTGTAGTGTAGCTTGTTATCGCATCAATGGAACAAAAGCCCATAAAGTTCATGTGTCATAAACAGTCAAACAATGATAAATTATTTTGATTTCAAAAAAATAAGCTGTAAAATTTTCCAAATTAATCTTGTTACGTGCAGATAAACACAAGGTCCACTATAGGCACCATTGAATGATGTGGGAAAAGGAGGGGGGGTGTAGCATAGTGTATATAATTTGTAGCTTCAAGTATTAAGACAATCATAGGCCATGTAGAAGAATATCTTTTGCAAAATGCAAACTATTATATATACATATACATATAT